TTAGTTATTTTGGCCTGCAGTGCCCTGTAGCGCCGTCCCAAGGGAGGAGTTGAAACCGTTTATGTCCAGGATGTGAGGGGTCTGTAGAGGTCTTCCCAGCCCTCTTTCTGACCGGTGTAATATACTGGTCTTCTATGGAAGGCAGGCAGGTTGCAGTTGTTCTTTCTGCAGTCTTAACTATCCATTAACCAGACAGTTACAGAAGTACAAATGACAGACAGCTCCTGGGGCAGTCTGAATTTCCGTAACATTTTTTATGCCTTTTAAATGATGTTTTTAATATTAGGTGTCCATTTCAACTCCCGGGAGATTATAGAACTCAAAAACTTGAAGGACTCTACTGCTGATATTTTGCTGTTGAATATAGTGGTATAATAGCAGGGATCCTCCTAAAACCCACTCTCATCTTTACAGTTTTAAGCATGTTCAGCTCCAGATTGTTCCAGCTGCACCACAGGGCCAGTTGTTTAACCCCCTGTCTATATGCAGACTCATAACTGTCTCAAATGAGGCCTATGACTGTTATGTCATCTGTAAACTTCAGTACTTTAACAGAGTGATTTCTAGATATGCAGTCATTGATATATATAAAGAAGAGGAATGGAGAGAGACACAGCCCTGTGCTAATTGCAGGGGTACTAGATGTAATTTCCCATAGCTGCACCTGTTGCTTTCTGTCAGAAAGCTAATGAGCAGGCAAAGTGAGATGAATCAGTTTAGAGTGAAGAATTTCTGGAATGATGGTATTGAATGCTGAGCTGAAATCTACAAAAAGGCCCCATGTATAGATCCCTGGGGATTCAAGATGTTACAAGATGTAGTGTACTGCCATATTGACAGCATCATCTGCCGATCTAGTTAGGCAAACTGCAGGGGGTTTAACAGTGGATCTGTGATTACTTTCAGATGAGTCAGCACTAACCTCTCAAAGGTCTTCATAACTACAACTGGCCTATAGTCATTCAGCTCCCTGATGGAGGATTTCTTAGGAATCAGGATGATGATAGAATGTTTGAAGCAAGAAGAGACATAACTTATCTCCAGTGATTAAAAGTTAAAAATCTATGTGAAGATGCGGCCAGTTGTTCAGCATAGGCTTTTAAACAAGAAGGAGCTACTCCATCTCGGCCTGGTGCTTTTCCGATTTTTTTTTTTGGTCTATGAAATAGATAAAGAGATGGCAAGATGGCGAAAGCTAATCCTGGTTCAAAGCTATTAAAGGTGTTAACACTTTCAAAGGAATTGGGCAAGGAAATGAAGTTGGGATTTCATACTGCTAACAGATTACCAAAGTGTCCTGTCAGATCCAGTCTTGGGTACTTGTCTTGAAGCCCTAGATAATTGTTAGACTGTCAGAATAAATTTTAGTAAAGTATTTCCATCCTCTATGCTTCAGGTAACATGTCAGCCTAAGATAATTTTTATCTGCAGTGGTCTCTCATGTCAGTGATATAATAAGAAACCTCCATAGATCGCATTCTTTATTTTTAAAAGAAAGGTAATCCTTCCATAACACAATTGAAATATTCTTCTGGGTCTTGAGTTGTGATTGAATATATTCAATTTTACCTGCCCACTTCTGTCCCAGAATAATGATTTCTTAAACTTCCTTGAATTTTGATGAAAAAGATAGAAAGCGTGACATCATCTTACATTGGTGAGACTTCACACCCAATCCCCGGATAAGCACTGTCAGTCTTATGTAGGTGTAAAACAGCAGGAGGAAGAGAGTGGATTCCTTTGGGATGTCTTGAAGTACTGTGGGATTGAGCAGCGAAGTGAAAGCCAGGAACTGAATTGCTGTTTAAAAGAGAAATATTTGTTATAAAAGTCACTGAGTTTTAAGAATCTGAATCTGAGTTTTAGAGTATCGAAGAGTTTTCATGTGCTACAGTTCCCATATCAGCAGTTCTCACTTCAGACAGACATCTTTTTTTTCTCTCACCTAGCCATTATCTTCCATTGCTCTGTCTTCCTTTTGAGGTGGGATGTTACAAAATATTAGGCCCCCCCATGGAACCTCACTGCAGACCTACCCACCAAATATAATGCAAAGGAATTCCACTCTTCCACAAGGATACTGGCATCAAAAGAGGAGCAGAAATAAGGAATTTCCATTCCCCTGAAAGAAACAACAAATTAAATTGGATGACATTGGTAGTCTGTTAGTCTGAAACTTTTTGCTAGGGAATATTTAAAGGGCATATCAGTGAATTATTAGTACTTGTAAAAGTAACAGCTTAATGACCATCACATTCTTGTGTAATGATGATTATTTCAGTGTACTTTTCAGATAAAAATTTTGCTGGGTCACCATTTAACTGCATATAAACATTTTTAATGCATGTGTATCCCATGGTAACAACTTTGTTTGTGATTGTAAATGTTAGTTTCTTGGGCTAAAATATGAAATACCAGTTATCTAAATTGCACTTCATTGATTCCTTATGTGCCATGAAGTCATTTTCGATTTCTAGACAGATTCTCTCCATGACGATCTATCCATAACCTGTTCTTTCAAGTCTTTCAATAGGGCACTCATTGCTGCTGGAACTGAATCCATCCACCTTGCTGCTGGTCATCTTCTTCTCTTTCCTTCTACCTTTCCCAGCATTAGAGGCATTTCCAGAGTGCTGGGTCTTAGCATAATGTGTCCAAAATAGGATAATTTGTGCCTCGAGTGAGAACTCATAGAGTCTTATGAACAAACTGGACAACAAACTGAATTAAACTGCAAATATAAACTTTTATGACAACAGAAGAAATAAATTATGCATGTGTGTATGTATGTACATGTTAAGTAACACTGTTAACAGTTCATTATTTTCAAATATGTGTGCAGATGTGGCAAATTTTAATGCAGTTGACTTTCTGTTACATTCTTATGCCTGTTTAATGGGTGATACTGTAAACAAATTAAAGCATGCCACAGCTTTGGACACAAAGATAAATAGATTCACCTCAGGGCATTGAACTTGTTTTCTTTATTTTAGCTCAAATTGTCTTGGGAGAGTTTATCCATGTTTGAAGTACATCTAAATACACTCAAAGGATGTGATGAGTGTTAATTTTGGGGAAAACTACTGTGGGAAAATATGCTGCTTTTTCATGAAAGACAGTGGAAGTCAGTGGAATATTGATGATTAATGCTTTAAAAAACATTTTTCTTAGATTTAGAAAATGTTTCTGTGTTCACTTAACATTGATGTGTTTTTTAAAAGTATACAACCATCTTAGTATCTTACTTGCATGCCCATGTCTTTTCCATTGTTGCCTTCTGGAATGTTTCCCATGACTTATAGCCCTACAAAGATGTGGCTTT